TTTTCTCCTCGACTTGCACTTGCCATTAATTTCGTAGTCATGACAGAAGCTTCATTATAAAACAAATCACGTGCTTCTTGTTCACTCAAACCATAAAATTTCTTTGCTGCAAGAATGAGAGTTTTAGAACTCCATCCCATTTGTGGTACCAATTGTTCCATGGCCTTAAACATGATATTCTTTTTGAGAGAAAATTCATCTTGCAAGCAGTGGGAAATGTGATTTGGAAAACGGGAGCCATTATTTGGTGAAAGATTGGATGAAGAAGTCGTTGACGATGCAGATACAGTACTTAGAGTCTTGTTGCTACTTCCAGTATTGCTGTTATTGGAATTGGTTTGGGAAGAGACATTGCTTGTTGGAATGACAATGGGTGACGATCGTAGTTTGATGTCTTCCAATAATCCGGGAGGTGTATATCCTGCAGAAATGGCATTGAGAGAATTGGAACGCATTTTGAGAGCTGTTGGAAGTTTGACAGGTTCTCTCTTTTTACGGTTGTCACTGGTCAAGAGTTTGTTTTTCACTTGATAATCGACTTGTCCAGTTTCACTCATAAACATTTCATCGAGTTCTCTAAAGATGTCCATCGAATCTGAACTATCAGCGCTCGAAGAAGGTGAAACATTTCCTTCAACATTCAACTTGGGTGACAAATGTTTCAATACGTGAGCCACATTTGTTGCATTTTCATTTTCAGCTGCGGTAATGGTTATTTGTGCATCCTTGTCATGTTTTTCAGCAATTGGAGAATGATTTTCTAAAAACTCGTCAATAATTGTTGAATCCTCTTCAACTTGAACCGACGGTGTTGCACCTGAAGAGTTTGCATTCGCTGTAGATATGGATGAATGGTCGTCGATTTTGTTTTCATGTAGAGTTGATGAAGTAGTCATGCTTGTTGTGTGATCTTCAGAATTTGTCACGTCTTTGGATGATACATAATTCTCAGTTGTTGTTGTTGAAGTAGTTTGAGTGAGTTTTCGAGGTGACACTAGCTGATTGTGTTGTTCCGTAGATGTTGGTACTGTCTCTGCTTCAATTTCTCTTCCAATTAAATTAAACAATGGCATGCATCCTTTTTGATCCTTTTTTAACAAGACAGCTCCTTTCTGAATTAAATAAACAATTCGATCGAGTGGTAGTTCAAAACATGCTCGATGCAACATGGTCTCTCCTCCTCGAATGGTCGTATCAAGAGTAGCTCCAAATAAAATTAACATGTCACACACTGCAAAACAACCTCTCTTGAGAGCAACATAGAAAACATTGTATCCATATTCATCATCAACTTGTTGAATGATCTTTTCGAGTGCATTTGAATTTTGGAAAGTTGAATTATTCGATGTTGTTGGAGAATCTGATTTTGATTTGAAGAAGGGTTTTCTACCTGTGGATGAAGTTTGTTCATTCGATTGCTTGCGTTGACGTGAAGGCATGGATGCATTCTTAATTTTTGTACATAAAAATGCACAACTTTCAGTTGCGTTAAAGAATGACGTATAAAAGAGAGGAGTCATTTTCATGGTATCTACAGCAAAGAGTGACTCATTTCCACACTCATCAAACAACCATTCCAAAATTAAGCTCTGGTTATACTTGGAAGCTAAATGCATGAGTGAACATTTTTGAATGGGTGTAAAACGAGTCGATGTCAAGAATTTGACCCACATGGGTTTCAATGCAGGATTGGTTGTAAATTTAAATTGTTTCCATGCATCGAGTTGTTCTTCTTTCATGGCTGAAAATTCTTTTTTTGACATTTCCAAATGAGTGGCTTCGCTTCCGAGAGCATGTGAAATTCCACCTTCTCCGAATCGAGTACTACTACGAGCCAATCGAATTGAGTTTCTAGTATTTGTAGATAATGAATTTGGACTTAGAAATTGAGAGGAAGAGCTCGAAGAGGTTTGATGATGATGGTGAGGAGTACCTGAAGCATTGGATTGTTCGGTTGGTGTGACATTTCCCAATGCATAGTTTTGAATCGAATAGAAGAAAAATCTATAATACAATAATTGTTTCAATCTGAAAAGCGACTTGCTAGAAATATGATGCAATCCGCTCAAATCCATCAATGCTGTTCCTTTCGACGTGTTATCTAATCCTTTCATGACTTTTATGACATCATTTTGTGTCTCGTTCATCGTCAATGGATGAGAAGAATTTCCTCCCAATAATTGACTCTTCTTTCCAAATGAATACTTTTTTCGTTTAAAAGTCAATTGTTGCGAAGATGGTACAAAACAACACAATAACATTTCCTTCCAAGTATCTTCTTCCAACACACTCAATGAATCATTTTCAAAAAATTGAGCCACCTTTGGAATGTCAATGTCATTAAAATCAGATAAAAACTGTCGGGGTGTCGTTGGTGATGTTAATTCGGATGTTTGTGAATGATTCGAATGGCCAGTAGTAGAATTGTTATTATTGAAATTATTATTAGAATTATTGGATGAAGATGGAGAGGAATTATTTAATAAACGAGGAGATGATGATTGTTGACTCGGACTTGTGTATGGAGAGGAAATGGAAGGAGGAGTACTTGACGCTCGTTGTTGTTGTTGTTGTTGTGGAGAGGAAATAGGAGATGAAGTAATGGTGGTCGAGGACATTATGATGTTTTTGTTTGGACTAGAAGAGTACTGATGGATAACACCACAAAGGGCGCTTCGCTAATTTTTTTCTTTGATTGGTGTTGGAAATGACAAGTGACATTTTCAGCTGTTGCATCTTTTGCGAATTGAAAATCTTTGATTAAGAGCATGCCACAACACAAGCATCATCGTCCCTTCTTTCAATGCGTCTTGATTTTCTCTTGAAGCTTGTCATTTGGTATCATGAAAAACCTCCTGTTGAAGCGTGTGTGAACCCAAAAGTCAGCACATCTAAAACATTTAATCATGTCATTAACCCAAATAATACCGAGCCATTCCTTTTCCGTTCACTCACCCATTAAAAAAATTGCAGTGCAGATCCACACAAATCTGTGCTTTCATAAAAACCTTTCAGCACCATTTTGCATTCAACGAACGTGAACTTGTTGGCAGTACATAATAATAATTTAACGACAATCTCACAAACGTTTTTGTGTGTGGTTGATTTCGAAAGGTGGAGCCAATATATTGATCATTGCAGTGGGCAATTGTGTGTTAACATCTAGAAAAAGACCATCTCGAGAGATTTTGTTGAGATCAATTTCTTGTTGGTGTTGTCGAGAGAGTGTGGATTGAAAAGGTTTGTTGTTTTTGAAGATATTTAAGAAGTATTGAATTTCGATGATGATGAAAAATGGTTTGATTTCCAATTTCTTCTAATGTGTTGACACAATATTCAACAACAACATCGTGTGATTATATGGAATGTTCCTAATTAATACCATATACTCTTGTACCGTTGCCTTGCCAACAATTCTTGTACATGAACAGTCAGCCATTCACGAATTAAGACTTTCGATTGTTATGCAGAACAGTTGCAATCAGTTTCAAAACAATTACAACAACAACAACAATATATAACAAAATGCAAGACGAAACACAGACCTCTTCAACTCAACAGCAAGTATTTATGGTTTCAAAAGAAGAAACACTTGTTCTTGATTCATCATCAGCAACAACAACATCCATGATGACCACGACGAGTACAACACCCTCTTCGGCAGGTATTATTCCCAATTCTGCTTCAACTACTCTTTCCAATGATTCGACTCCACCGAGTGAGTCTATTCCTGCTCTTGTTGTAAATGACTCCAGCCATCATCATCATCATGACGAAAATTTTAAAACAACATCCATACCCACCACTACTTCAACAGCTGTTGGAGTTGTTTCATCCATCCATGAAGAGAAAGAAGAATCACAGCCATCATTGTTGCAACAACCTTCGAATCCCAGAAGACCTATATCCCATGATCATTCTTCTCATCAAGCCTCTTCTTCTCAGCCCACTAGTTTGGTTCGGAGAGAATCTCTAGCTGCTCGAATGTTAAGCCGATTTCAAAAGAAGAAACAAGTCTCCACGACAACAACCACAGATCAAACAACAAGTGCCCATCAAGATGTTGCAGCCGATGATTCACCATCCAACCCTCCTCACGATGTCGTTTTCAAAATTCCAGTCTCTTCATCATCGGAAAAGAAAAAGTTATCCAAGAAATCAAGTGCCCTAAGTATTTCCTCTCATACACAACCATCATCGGTGAACCAACAAGAATCCAACTCTTCTTCCATTAATATGAATACTATTCAAGATTATATTTTCCATTTTCATCGTATCTTTACGGACAAGAATATGTTCAAAGCTTTTTACAATTATCTCGAAACGGAACATAATACAGAGCCATTAGAATTTGTACAACAAGTGAATGAATTAGAGATGGATTATTACAAGTTGATGAGAGTGATTAAGAGTTTGACTAGTAGCGGCAGCAATAATAGTGGAGGAGGAATGAATTCTAGTGGTAGCAGCAGTAGTAACAATCTCACTCAAGCTTCTAGCGTACAATCGTTGATTTTATCATTCTTTGGAAAGAATAAGGACAGTACACATTTTCAATCGGCCTCGCAGAAGAGTCCAC